GAGAGACTGAAAGCAGTGGCACTATCAACATAAATACGGAAATCAGATGAAGAAATCAGGTCGAAACGCTGGCAGAGCCTTGGAGGGCACTAAATTCTGAGGACGTAACTATCAACTGCATGATTACAACTTACAAGATGCTTTCATGTTACATTATCTCTTTTCACAACAACCATGTCCAATGTCTAAGAGCTCTTCTGTTCACACTGACTAGGGACTATGATGACAATGGGAAACCTCCCAGGTAGCTTTCAAGTACAGAGTTCTCTGAGAGGGATTTCTATTGCTGATTTTTTGGGTTAATATTTCACTATCATCATCCTTAGGGATCAAAAAGGGAGAAACTTCTCTTCTGTAGATTTCGATCCCAAATTCGAACGATTTTTCTTATTTTTTTTCCTTTCATGGTATCTTTCCCCTAGAGCAGCCATGGAATACAGTCCATTTAGACTATCTGTTCAAATGTTCCACTATTTTCTACTATAATATGAAGAAATTTCAGGTACAATTATTTATTTATCTCAATCAACAGCATAAGTTGAAAACATTAAGAAATCCCATTTGGGGTCAGGCGCGGTGGCTCACACCCGTAACCCCAACACTTTGGGAGGCCGAGGTGGGTGGATTACTTGAGGTCGGGAGTTTGAGGCCAGCCTGGCCAACATGTTGAAACTCGGTTTCTACTAAAAATACAAAAAATTAGCAGGGTGTGGTGGCAGGCGCCTGTAGTCTCAGCTATTCAGGAGGCCGAGGCAGGAGAACCTCAGGAGGTGGAGGTTACAGTGAGCTGAGATCGTGCCATTGCACTACAGCCTGGGCAACAGAGTGAGACTCTGTCTCAAAAAACCAAATAAATAATTTTTTTTTTAATTTTAAAAAGAAAAGAAACCCCATTTGGGATTTCTGTTGTCACTTTTCTTAAAGGCATAATGTCTCATCTCCTGCCCTTGCAGTCATTCTCTTATCACCTTTTCTGGCTAATCTATCTCTGTACTGTTAAGCAAATCTGAGAAATCCAAGTAAGTATAAACTCACAAAACTGGTATGACAGTCAAAGACTATTGCAGTAATCAGTCTGCCCTTTTCTAGTTACCTTCACTTGGATTTTGACTCTCGGCTGTTTCTTACTAGAGATAGTAAGTGTTGGTGATGATGTGGAGAAGTGGGAACCCTTACACACAACTGGTGGGAATGTGAATTAGTACAGCCATTATGGAAAACAGTAGGAAGGTTCCTAAAAAAATAAAAAATAAAACTACTATATGATTTAGCAATCCAACTACTTGGTATATATCCAAAGGAAACGAAATCAGTATGTTGAAGAGATATCTGCACTCCTGTTTACTGCAGCACTATTCAAAATAGAAAAGATATGAAGTCAACCTAAATGTCCATCAACAGATGAATGGATCAAGAAAATGCAGTATTTAGGTCAGGCATGGCGGCTCACGTCTGTAATCCTAGCACTTAGGGAGGCTGAGGCAGGAGGACAGCTTGAGCTCAGGAGCTGGGGACCACCCAGGGCAACACGGTGAAACTCCATCTCTACAAAAATACAAAAATTAGCTGGGCATGGTGGTGTATGCCTGTAGTCCCAGCTACTGGGGAGGCCGAGGTGGGAGGATAGCTTGAGTCTGGGAGGCAAAAGTTGCAGTGAGCCAAGATGGCACCACTGCACTTCAGCCTGGGCATTAGAGCCAGACCCTGTCAAAAAAAAAGAAAGAAAGAAAGGAAGGGAAAATAAAATAAAATGCAGCATATATAAAATGAAATATTTACTATTCAGCCATGAAATAGAATAAAATCCTGTCATTTGTGGCAAAACAGATTAACCTGGAGGACTTACATTGAGATAAGCCAGACACAGAAGGACACATACTGCATGATCTTACTCACATGTGGAATTTCATAGAAGTAGAGAGTAGAACAGCAGTTACAAGAGGACAGGAGGTTAGAAATTGGTTAATGCAGCTGGGCATGGTGGCTCATGCCTGTAATCCAAGCACTTTGGAGGCCAAGGTGGGTGGATCACCTGAGGTCCAGAGTTCAAGACCAGCCTGACCAATATGGTGAAACCCCGTCTTTAAAAAAAAAAAAAAAAAAAAGAAAGAAATTGGTTAATGGGTACAAAGCTACAGTTAGATAGCAGAAACATGTTCTGGTGTTCTATTGCACAGTAGGATGAATAGAGTTAACAGTAATGTATTATCTATGTCAAAACAGCTAGAAGAGAGGTTTTTAAATGTTCTTATTGCAATGAAATGACAAATGTTTAAGGTGATGGATATGCTAATTATCCTGATTTGATCATTACACAATGTATACATGTATTGAAACATTACACTGTATTCCATAAATCCGTTCAATTATTATGCATCAATCATAAAAAATTCACTTCTATTCCTTGAGACTTGGTACTGGTATTTAGATTGCCTGGCTTGCCTCTTAGTTCTTCATTGAGGACTTGGCTCAGATCTGACCAGGCTTACTTTGAGAACTATTTTGCCTACTTTTGAGCCTTTCGGACCCAACTCATGGCTCAGGTCCATGTTCTAGCTAGACGTATCTATCCTCTCATGAAAAGAACCTTTAGGTACAAGCTGAGTTCTTTCTTTTCTTTCAGCTGTATCAGTCCTTGGAAAAGCAGGACCTTTTTGTCTGCTTTGATCCCATGTTATCCTTTGACTTCATTTTGAAGGATTTCCCTCATGGCTACTTGACTCATCAACTTGGTTGATAGTGGCATACATTACACTGAGATTTCAGGGCACTAACCAAAGAAGAGGAGGAAAAAGAATCAGAGAGGCTTCTAATTACAAAGCAGGTATATGCTACATGGTAGTATTTATCTGTTGGAAATATAACTGAATTATATAATTTTTTGGTTTCTCTTATTATATTTTCCCTCAGCCTTGTGACTATTAGAGAGAAAACTACACTGTCACATTCTAACAATGACCGAGTAAAGAGCAAAACAGAAAACTCATCTACTTAAGAAGACAGGATTCAAAACCCTTGCACTGAACGCTACCATTTGTGTGGGTCTAATCAAGGAATAGGAAAAGAAAAGAAAAGCAAAAATAGTATCTTTGGAGATCAAGTTTCCTAAAGGAACTAACATTCATTTATAAGACATCAATGAGAAAACCAATCTTCTTTTCTGATATTTAGAGATTCTTCCATTGTTTCTGACTGAATACTTTTCTACTTTTTTGTTTTCTTCTATCAACACTATGATGAAGCAGCACAGCAAGAAAAAATCATTATGACATACACACTATGATACAGGCTATTTTAAACTATGATACGAAGTGTTTTTATTTTTTCCTGACCTTGCATAAAGATCTCAAATCATCCTGTTAATGATACATAATAAGGACATACACACATTTTAAACTATTACAGATGGTCTTGGTAATTAAAGATAGTCTCCATTTTTTGTTTGTTTGTTTGTTTTAGTTTAATCTAAAGAACAGGATCCCTTCTTTGTTACCTGCTATCATGTTCATGTAGCAAAGTCAGTGAATAACAAAATAAACCAACAGATTAGGACAGTAAAATGGAATTAGGAGAAGTCTTCAACACGCTGATCTGGTAAAAATGAGCCTAACAGTTTGAGAGAACAGTGTTGTGGGAATATAAAAAGCTTATCTGTGAAAAGTGATAGAAAGCAGGCAAGACCCAATTCTACTGACTGGTAAATACATCTGAGTCAGTATTCCTTTTCTTAATGACTAGTCAACATAAAATTTAGCTTTGCAGTAGATCTTCTGCTGATCAACACTGTTTCTAAAATACTAGCTAAATGTTGTTTTAGAGTAAAAGCGATCATTTTTACATTTAACTCATCAAAGTAAAATTGTCAATCAGTTCAATGTGTCCCAAGTGCTTTTCTTATAATTTTAATGAGTGGCAAAAATTAAAATTGAAAAAATAAAACACAAACACTTTTCTGAAATCAGAGAGAGATACAAGGCCATCAATGAACTAAAAAACATGTCTTAAATGCCATTAAGAAAATTAAATGTACCATCAAATAATAATACTTGTAATATTGATAGTTAATATTTCTTGAAAGCGGTAAATACCAGGTACCATCAGTGTTTTACATGTATTAGCTCATTGCATCCTCACAACAATTTTGAGGTAAGTACTGTTATTTTTTCCCCCTTTACAGACGAAAAGACTGAGGCTTAGAGTGGGTAGGAATGATTTTCAAACCTAAGACATCAAAGGCCCAAGCTCTTAGCCACTACTCTATACTGCTTCAAATAGAGCTCTTCCTCCTCATTTTTCTAATAAATATTTATTGAGTCTTTATTATGTATCATTAACAGGGTGATTTGACATCTTTACGCAAGGTCAGAAAAAAAATAAAAAATAGACTGGTTCCTCTCGCCAAATGAAAAGCTGTAATATGACAACACAGGCTGGGCATGGGGGACAGGGCACGGGGCAGACAGTGGGAGTGGAATTGCTCACTTTCTAAAGATGCTTTTCTTCATGGTATGGCAAATCTTCATTATTAATCAAATAAATCTCTTCTGAGGATATGGATATGTTTCAGTGGTAGTAAATTTCACTTTGGTTCTAGTGAAATTCTTTCTACATGAAATTTTCATTAGCCTATAAAATAACAGTTAGAATGGCAGCAATCTGTAAGTTAATTTTTAGCAATATGTGAACTTTTTTCTTGTCATGATACTTTCTATTCAATAAAGCAAACCCCATCTCTACTGAAAAACCTCATTTCATTGCTTCATGATCTATTATCATCTAAGGTCGAGCCAAGGAATGCTATAACCCCATTAGATGTCAGGCCCCTGCCATCTACTCACTATCAAACAAAAGTTCCCTTTATAGACTATTTAAGTTATGTTGCCAAAGAAGTCCTTTATGACAGGGGAGTCCAAGTCAATGCTCACTGTAAAATCCTAATACCCCAAACAAGAAAACCTTCAAAAGATAAGTTTTAAAAATAACAAGTGAATCACAAATACAATTTATATTTTTAAAGTATCTTTTTCTTTTAAAGTGAACAAAAAAAAAAGTTTCAGACAAGTTATTACAATAACTTTTTCTAATTGCTTTCCACCTGTAGAGAGATACAAATAAAGACAGTAAAGCTGGCTAATGACTAAGTCTGGTTCTACTCTTTTCAAGGGGAAAATCAAATGATAAAAAGTAAAAGTTTAAATTTAGTTACGGGACACAACTTTGTTTGATAAGAGGCAGAAAACTCATTTTTTGTGATAAACATCGACACATTTCTATTAGGCCCACGAAACAACTATAAACTATTATTAGCAGTTTTGTTTAAAGGCCAAGTTAAATAGATTATGATACATCTTTACAAAGAATACTATTTAGTGATTAAAAAGAATGCACCTGGCCGGGCGCGGTGGCTCAAGCCTGTAATCCCAGCACTTTGGGAGGCTGAGGTGGGTGGATCATGAGGTCAAGAGATCGAGACCATCCTGGTCAACATGGTGAAACCCCGTCTCTACTAAAAATACAAAAAAATTAGCTGGGCATGGTGGTGCATGCCTGTAATCCCAGCTACTCAGGAGGCTGAGGCAGGAGAATTGCCTGAACCCAGGAGGCGGAGGTTGCGGTGAGCCGAGATCGCGCCATTGCACTCCAGCCTGGG